AATTAAAAGAATTGATTTTTGCCTAAACGATCACTAGACAAATTTAGATGAGCATAATAATGTATTTCAAATATTATGCTGATGAAACCTCGTACATCTACCAACAAGTAGGAGATATGAAACAATAGAAATCATCTCCTTCTGAACTTCACCAGTTCTACATAAATTAGTTGTTGGCTGGAGTAAGAGATAACTGAAAGAAAAAATCAATAGTTTAACGTGTAATTTCGTCATACTTCTTAGACTCATAGGGCTTCATAGTTCAAGTTTCTAAGAGTTTAACACCTTGACATATAGATACATGTTTTAAACTGAATAAATGATTGAAAGAAGTTTGTATAGTTGTATCAAATATATACATCTGTATTTAGCCTTTGACTGTCTTCTGCAAACTGTACAACATTCTATTTTTAAAGTAGTTAAATATGAAAAGAAATAGAACTTTATTTACACGCTATCAACTAGTATATGTTTCTAAAACGTATGTTTTATTAGAAGTTTCAGTGAATGAAAATTACGAAAAAGAGTACATGCTAAACCATTGTTTAAACCACTTTTAAAATATAATCTGTAGAGTAATTATAGCTGTTTTTAATAAATGTTTTCTAAGATAGTCAAAAAATCAAGACGACACTTTATGTTTACTACCTTTCATGTTAAATTTGAATATAGTTGATTTTAAAAAGTAACTTTTTGTTTTAACTTGAGTTTAACCTGTATAAGCCCCCGACAGATCAGTGTTAAGCTGATAGCTTGTAACTCTAAATTCAGGGCCTCATCCTTGCGATAGGCACAGCGCAGATAGAGAAAAGAAAACAAGAACTAAAGAATTATTCGCATAAATATGGATATGCCTGCATGTAATTAATTAAACATATCGACTCGTTTCACACAACATATGTAATTGGTTAGTGTTATTGAAAAGTAATTATTTACTGTCACACATGCTCTAAAATTTTACAGTGAAAACTAATCTCCCGAATGTCTGTTCTCCATAATGTGTTATTATTTATTATGTTTTATTTCCACTTTGGTTTCCTCAATAATCGACTTTATGTTTAATAGGATGATGTTTCATTCATGAAGTAAGCATTTATTAAATAGTAAAAATGTATGACTAACATGAAACGATATCTTCATCTCTCCATAAACCAGATAGCGCGGAAAAAATACAACAGCAACTTAGATCGTGCTGCCATCTATTATAATTAAATAAAACTATTTTACTATATTTATAATTTGCATACGTATTTTCCAAATTAACAGAGTAAAATATCTACCTATTCACCTGATATCCTTAATTTAAATAAATTGGATAATAATTTAAATTAAAAATAGGATCGACGATTAGTTGGATTATCAAAAGAATTTTGAAAATATCCAAGTTTCGTACACGTTGTTTCTATTAGCTTTTCTTTTCTTTTTCTCTAAAATAGGCGTGAGCGTGGCCTTCTGATTGACGCATTAGAATGAATATCTGATTATCTTAGGTTCTAGGTGTGGTGTAATTTTTCGCTCTTTTAGTTATGTATGCGACATAAATGACAGTCAATCCCGCTATTTGGTTAAGAGTAGCTACTTCAAGCGTCTGATGCTGTTGAATGGGTGTGCCTTTTAATTTTGAACATTAGCCAAAGGAAAGGAGCTATGCTAGCTGTTAAATTGCCTTTCCTTTGGCCATTTTTCAAAATTAAAAAGCGGATATGCTGGCTCTTAAATTGCCTGTTATTTGGCCAATTTTTAAAACTAAAAGGCGGCTATGCTGAACCAGTGGAATATCTGGTCGTTTAACTCATTATGCGTATAGGGTGTTGTTCAGGTGAATCAACAAACAAAGCTTTTTCTCGAAATGTTGTCTCTCGGTGTATCCGCGGTGAATACAGAAAGCAGATAACCCAATTTGGCTTTGCTCTAAACCTCGAAACGTCACATAATGAAGAGCTTTGGAAAAAAAATTGAAACCGTCAAGTTCTCTAGTTGCTATTAAAGCTACTATTTATGTATTTCACTTATGTTATTTTAAATGTTTTAAGCAATATAACTTAGACATATAAAGTGAACTTAGTAAAATTTAAGCTCATTGCGAGTTTCAAAGCTATTTTATGCTCAAATTCATCAGCAGAAATACTGTGTCTTAAACATCGTGTGTTAGATATAATTCTCGATTAATCGTTCTCTTCAGCACATATTATCTTGTACGCTGCTGCTACCATCTCCATAATCTAATATAGCGGTCGACTAAGTTAAATCATAATGATTTTGGAGGCTCACTTCGTAGTTACATTCCATGCCGCCACGTCCAGTCATGCTCTATTTGTCTACTATGCACCTTCCCAATAGCATAGTATATATTGAAAAAGGTTACGTTGTAAGGCTGTCATGTTCAAAGCACATCTCTCTTCTCTGTGAGTATTCGATAAGCCATCTATTGTACGTGGACGACGGCTGTTTCAATAGTTCAATCAAATAGAAATCCATAGGTGACTTGCCTGGTATATCTTTGTTTGGAACAACATGAATACCTGTTTCATTCTCCAACTGTTAGAGATATGCGATAGTTCTACGTCACGAAAGCAACGTACGTACACCTGACTTATGTCACTTTTTCAGACGGAAATACTTCTTGTTTATGCTATGTAGTGTTACCTGGGGAACGTGGACAGCTTTTGCCATTGATCTTTGTGTTCTTGAAATCTCACGTTGTTTACCATGCTTGGGTAGACCTTGTTGCACATTTCTTTTTGGATAGTGTTGGTGCTCCCAGTTGATCTATATTCGTTTGTTATCCAATTTTAACATGTATAAGGAATATTCCTGTTTTCAAAATTCTAAATTTCCGATGTGAACACATGGTTTTGATCTCAGTGTCTGAATATTTTGCGTTGGAACGGATTCTTATATCCCCTTCCCAAAAGCGATAATTTTAGGTGGAATTACACAGGTCTATGTAATACCACACAATGTCAAAATGTAGTTCTTATACAATCCGTTCCACTGCATCTTTACGCCAGCTGTGTTTGTCACGTGACTTGCCGATTTGTATATATATTTGTTTTAATATAATAAACTCAATCCTCTATATTAAAAGTGGAAAACACATTTAAAAAAATTGAAAGTATAAAATAGTGCACCAAAAAGTAAGGAACCGAGATAGGAATGGGTATGGTGTAATCATACTTAGTTATGCTTATCATACAATGACTAGAAGTTTCTGTGAATCGAATTATAGGAGGCATTACATGCACTGTAAAATCTGTTTATAACGAAACCAGAAGAATCTATGTGAATCCATAAATTGTATGCTTGATTGTTTTTCCTTTACAACTTGTCCTTCCTTTTGTAATTGTATGAGAAGGCAACATAATTTCGTACATTAGCTATATAGGTGGATTAAAATACAAAGATAAAAATTCTAAGAGGTTTCTGTATATCGGCGTCATAGATTCGTTACTGTCTATACAAACGTAGAAAAACAATAGACACACAGAAAAATGAAGCAGGCATGAACCGGATGTTGTACACGCCCCTCTATGAGGTTGTACAAAGTAATTTTTATTACACCATGCCCATTCATTCCTTGTTTCCTCACTTTTTGGTGCACCCATTCTAAAATTTCCATTTTATTAAATTATCTTTTCCACTTATTTATGCACTTTTTTCATTCATTTGTGTTGATATCCTGTATGTATATCATCAGTGTTAATGTGCACCATAATATTATGGTATGTGCAAATAATGGTCTACATGTGTGTTTGTGTGGTGTGCATTTTCTTCACTCGTGGTGTGTGTACCTGTTGTGAGGCGCAGGTGTACTATGCATGAGATGGCACATACTCTATTGTGTGCAATGTCATTTGGGTGATGTAATGTGAGTTGTGGTTGTGTGCATATAATTAGTTAATTAATTTAAGTAAATACTTCACCCTAGCACTAGCACGTGGTCCCTGTGCTATTGTTCTATTTGGTGCACTTATAACTGTATTGTGTATCCGACCCATTCCTACTGTAAGTACTACTGTACTTACGATACTGTATTCAAAATTCAGAAATTTAATCTCTCCTGCTGCAGGTAAAGTTGAAGTTTCATATTTTTGCTATTTAATCCTTGTCAGAGAAATAGTTAACCATAATGCATTGCTACTTTTATATTTAATACTTACATCAGTATAATAAATATCATATTGCATGGAGTTAACTTCAGTAGCTATATTCACTTACCACAGAAAGTTATGGATTTTCTGTCTAGAGTTTGAATGTCGCAATATTATTCATATTCTATATTCATTTGGGATTATTCTTTGTTAATTTTGAAATATATGACTTTGCTTTTGAGTAAAGGTGGTAAGTATAGAAGTTAATAATTGTTTGCTTTAAAGCAGTTACACTATAATTGAATAGAGACGTTTGTAATTTCTTTAGCGAATTTTTTCGTATTATAATTCAGTTATTTTTTAATAATCTATTGTTTTAATAATCTCTAAACAGCGAATGAGTTTCGTATGAAGGTTCCTAGAGGTCTATTTTCCTTGTCTTGTATAATCTTTGGATTATATTTGCTAGCTATAGAATTCACACTTAATTGTGTAAGACAAAATATACAGATTTTATAGTCAATATACTTATAAGTTTCTTAAAATAAGATGACTATAATAGTGTACTAAAGAAACTATTCCTCAACATTAATAATAAGGATCTTAAGATACATTTTAGCGAATGGGATTTTAAACTTGACGAGCACTTAAAATAGATTTCTGCCTAAAAACATCTCATGATATAATTTATGTAACTACGACGATATAACACTTTTATATTTTCACTGTAAAAATGACACAGTTACCCTGAAAACCTAAAAAAAAATGTTATAGGGAGGAAATGAGACCTATAAAAACTCGATTCCAGGATTTTAAGTCTGAGAAATTAAAAACATGAATTTCTAGAGTAACCGTTGATATTTATCATGGGTTTACAAGAGTTTAATTTAAAAAGAATTATAGACGTACCGTTCAGAACATGTACCGCTATTTCGGCTGGATCAGCATTCGAAGGAGAACACGAGTAGTTCCCTGAATTATCGGGTTGAGCTTTCTCTATCCAAAGGGTACTGGTAGTTCTGGGATTTTTTTGAGTCTGTACTTTAACACCTTTGTGAGCCTCATAGTTGATTACCTGATTGTTGTGGTACCAAAACACGTAGTCAGGAGGTACTGGACTTTCTTGAATTATACAAGTTAAATTGATAGAGCTGCCTGTATTGATGTAGACGGCAGGGCCACCTAGGATATTGGCTTTACTCACTAAAATAAGACAAATAATTTCATTATCGTAGAACTGCAACTCAAAAGGTATATATCTTTAATCAGCAGATAAAAACACATTAACGTAACAATCGAAGGGGTTTTAATATAATAATCCTACACAGAGAATAACGTCATTTGTCTGTTGTGTGTTGAAAGTTCAAAACTGGCAAATGGTATAACACTACACTTCTTGTGCATATTGATCAACTATGACATTCATTTACCGGAGGAAAAAATAAACCGAAATGTAAAGTTATTTACTATTTTCTTAGAAACTATGTCCTTTATACCTTTTTGAGACAAAATATACTTTAAATAGGTTTTGAGCACTTTAAGCATTAAATTGGAACAACAACAAAAACATTATTAATCATTATTTTTTTGTGTATTTAGGAGTTAGTTTTCATAAAGTTCCAATTGTGGGTTTGTCATCCTCATACAATAAGAGTCAAAACGTGTAAGTATACTGAACTTGTATGAGCATATGAAATAGCATGTTTTAATAAGTATGTCAGCTTACAGTTCTGTCTTTGGTGATATCATATATTTATGGTATTGTACATAATGCATTAAGACAACGTTTTTCGCTGTTAACTTGTTACTTTCGAGATATCGTGTAAGTGTTTAGTTTGTATAATTCAAACATAAATGCCTATCAGTAATCAAATTCAGAAACAAGTACAAACTTGAGACATTGTAGCATTGTGTTTTATACAGAGAATAATTTGAATGAAGAATGAGTGCGTTTTTATGCTTAGAGAGATTTAAAAACATGTCCATGTGTTCTTCGTGAGTTAATTGTTTCAAAAATTAGTTAAACGCCATAAAGCGTGTGGTTGACAGTTAACAATAGAATTAGGCTGTTATTAAGTAGAAAGTTACAGAATGGGCTATCAGTATTGTGCTCGCCACGGGTATCGAAACCACGTTTAGCGCCATAAGCTCTCAGACATATGACTGAGCCACCGGGGGCCATCAGCCATAGACGTTAGAACTGATTTATAATAAACTGAATATTTCAAACACCTATCTAGTACCATCTTATGAAACTCGGTCACTCTAAAAATACTTAAACTTGCCACACAGAAATTGCGTATTTACTAACTTACGATTAATGTTTCATGAAATAGCATGAAAAACTGACAATAGAAATATATATTTGAAGACAAGCTCTTAGTTATTCTTGAAGCGGTGTCGTTGTTCTCACGCTGCTAGTGAGATCTGTTTATTTTCTATTCTTGAAGTGGTGTCGTTGTTCTTACGTTGTTAGTGTGATGTGTTTATTTGCTGTTCTTGAAGTGGTGTCGTTGTTCTTAAGTTGTTAGTGAGATGTATTTATTTGCTATTCTTGAAGTTGTGTTGTTGTTCTTAAGTTGTTAATGAGATCTGTTTATTTCTTAGCTAATGAGGTCGAATTTAATGAATAAATCGTTGTTTTTGAAACAAATAGAAATGTGAAAATCTGACTTTACTAGAATTGAAAAAACAACAATAAAAAAGTCAAAACAGAAACAAGCTTTTATATTAAAGTAGACTATTAGAGTCAAATGTAATGATGTATTAGAAATATTGATGACATAGAAGTGTATAATATTTTCTATGAATAATCTTCATTTATAAATAATATTATGCCATTTTCCCATACCATGTTAAAGTAGAAACATGAAAGTACATCAAAACTAAAGTTGTTCTTTGTTTTATTTAAACGATTTATTTGTAAAAAATGTATAACGAATATTAAAAGGTGTGTGCTTGTTTAAATTTTTAACAAATGTTTTGGAATATTTAGCTGAATGGACGGCAACTGCCTATCGTAGAAACACTGAAGACGAAAGGTAGAAGGCTATCGAAACGTCTTCCTCTATATTTTCGTTTCTACAACAGGCAGTTGCCACCCATTCAACTAAATTTTATCATGCATGAATACGCTGTCAAAGAAGTTTTGGAATAGTTTAAATGTCGTTTATACTAGTTGCGACAGATGGCAGCACATTACATGGAGGTTTAAAATTTTAGATGTCGTGCATGTACCATATCTATATTTTATAGTGCTTTTTGTTTCATTTGCAGGCAAATGATATACATACATATAAAAATACAATGATTAATGATCAATAATGACTAATCATGGAATGAAATTAATTTTGGTGTTGTTATGATTTGTATTACCTAGAATATTTGATTGATCCTTTAATGTCAAGCTCACGATGCTAAAACTCGGATTTCAATACCCGTGGTGGCCATAGCACAGATAGCCCACTGTGTGGGTTTGTGTTTAACAAGAACCAAACATAATGTTTATAGGTTAGTATCATTTTGAAACCTCAATGTAATAAGAATGAAATGAAAACCAAATAAAAAAATAGCGAATATTACAATCATTTTTCAAAATAGTTACTTTGTTATCTTTTAGTCCAGGTAAACATGTAGGCCAATGAAAGAAAAAAATACTTGTTAATTTTATCCTGTAATCTTTAGGTTAATTGCTGCAACCATTTCACTAGTTCGGTGTGGAGCTGAAATACTTGTTAATTTTATCCTGTAATCTTTAGGTTAATTGCTGCAACCATTTCACTAGTTCGGTGTGGAGCTGAAATACTTGTTAATTTTATCCTGTAATCTTTAGGTTAATTGCTGCAACCATTTCACTAGTTCGGTGTGGAGCTGATCTTTAACGTTTCCACTGGGTTGTTTAAAATATGTTTTGAACATGAGCTGTGTATAATTAAATACTGTAACAAACTTAAAATCTTGCAGGGTAATTAAAACAAAATAGAATTGTGTAAACATAGCTAGAATGACTTTCGAAAGAACCACATGTGTCTTAAAATGTAAGGAAATCAACAATGAATTAAAAACAAAACTTGAACTGTTCCATTAATGGTTAATACCGTTCTTATTTTCTTAGAAACCGAACAATCCATGCGTTGTGTTCCCGCTAATTATCTGAGAAATTGTTTGGTTTTATTGATTCTATAATTGCTTTCCTGCGCATTATTACTTGAGTTCGCTAACTTGTAGTCAATAATCTTGATCTTAAAGTTTCCTTGCGTGCGCCTCATCTATACAATTTTTAAACTATAGACTGGATTTGATCAGCAGAACTCGAGAACGTAGTAGTATGTTAGCCTAATGTGTGACCTAATTGCAACCCACGTTTTAGAATTAGAATCAGTAATCAATACTTTAATCAACCTCAGACCCAAGAAAATAATGTGGTGATACTGGTTGCTTAAATCGATTATGAAGCACATGTTAAAGTTATCTTAGACTTTGGAACTATATCGTTGTATCTGGTAATGGAAACGTACTTGGAACTAAAATAAAATCTCCTAAGAGTTTAATAAAACAAATTGAAGTTATTAAAATGCTGACTTAGATGAACATGCAGCATATATTGTTGTTTAACATTCAGTTCCCTGAAAATTATAAATTGTCCTTAGGTAAAAATCATTCACGCCAATAATAACTTTCAAGGGTATTCATTCTTTTATCGTGTTATCTTTGCACATTTCAAACGACAAAGAAACAGTAAACCGGTAGGATCTGTTATAGTGTCGAAATGCTAGAAACATTCCGTTTCTATCAAATTTGAATAAATTGTTAATAATAAAGAGTTTGAGTTATCAAATATTTGAAATAAATACAAATATAATATTACGTAAATATTTTGCTGGGGTGCTTTGGCTGATAAACAGTGAACTAGTGCTTCTAATGCAAATTATGGCTCTTATTTGGGAATACCCACTGAGAAGCGTATCTTGTCTTGAGACTATACGATGTTATCTTTGTTGAACAACAGTATAAGCCTGTAATAAATCAAGATCATCTCGGAAGTTGGTGGTTGGTCGACTATATGAAAATCACAAATTGATTTTTTTGTATAAAATCTAACGGACAAAGCTTATAAGATTTTTGTCATATTGTTTTATTCCTCGGCCTTCAGTTAGTTTTAAAACTCTAATCTAAGATATAGAAAGACTTAACTTCCTGGAGACTAGGAAAACGGTTTCAAGCTGTTAGCTTGTTTGGCTTTTTAGAAAATAATTAAATTAATCACTTTACCTTTCTCTATCAGTGATATCACTAAGGCCTAATTACCTTTCTCTATCAGTGATATCACTAAGGCCTAATTACCTTTCTCTATCAGTGATATCACTAAGGCCTAATTACTTTTCTCTATCAGTGATATCACTAAGGCCTATGCAAAATCAATATGTGCACCCAACTCGCCAAGGAAAATGAATTAAATATTTCCCGTAGATGATTTCGTTAAAAAAAAACAACAACAGGAAATCCTTCTTTCAGTACAAACAATTCCTTCTGATACGTTTTAGTGGCGTAAGTTAGATAGAGTATTCCATATAGCATTTCAAACAAAGATGGGGTTTAGCTCTTCAACTCTTGTAAGGCATATCAAAGCTTATAGAATCATTTTGTTTTTTAAAATATATTTTGATCATTGAACAAAAGTGAAGAACCGTCTATAGTGGTGTATTATATATTTCTACATGTCGTTCGACCACATAATGAAATTACAAAGAAAACAATTCTTATATACAAGTAACCTACCATTTAGAAGGTTTTATGCCTTTTTGAATATTTAATCGTCTATTTCTCTGTTTGTTCTACATGTTGTAGGTATCAATACATAATGGAGTCATATGTAAAGGTTCCAACCAGCGAATAATATTTAAAATTTCAAAATGTATATTTTTTAGCTGGTATATACTTAAATTGACTTGTAACTTTAATCTGCATATATTTTGCAACTACATATCTTGAAATTCATTGCTTACAGATATTGTTCTAGTAAACTTAAAGCCCTTGAGGAAAACTTATATTGTGATAACATGACTGCATACGTATCTCAAAAAAAAAAAAAATCGCGTGAATTTAAGTATTAGCATACTTAGGCCTGTATTGAGATTTACAAGTTTAATAGTTCAAGTCTTGGGCAACCAATAAACAGATTTATTTAAATAACATGTAGAAAAACCATTTTCTTTTAAATATTTTAAATAATATTTAGCTTACCAGGGCTACAGCACTGACAGTTGAAGAAGTATATTTTAGTGTCATTTGTAAGTTGTAATTTTATGAAATTATTATAAATGACTTGCAATATTCCAAAAGGTATACGTATAATTTGTATCACTATTTTTAAAGTTTTTCAAAGGTATATATTTTCGATTTTCTAATATCTCACAAATGTATATCAAAAGTTTCATAATAGGCTCAGCAAAGATCTTGTTTTACTGTAGACATTATACATGTTTAAAATATGATGTTATTAGTAACAAAACTCTATAATATTGTTATATTCTTTATCTGTTAACATTTCTGAATTCTATCTATCTATCAATCAAGCAGCCAATCTCCAGTTACAGAACTTTTAGGTACTTTGATCTTATGTCAAAACGTAAGAGCTATTGTATTTGTTATGTATAATTTTACAGGGGCTGAGAATGTTATATTAAAATGATTTTAGAGTCTCACCACGTCTTTACAGTCCACGTCACCACGTCCAATAATGTTCTATCTGACGGATTTGCATCTTACCAAAAGCTCTGCAACGTATTTTCCTTTTCAAGAGGCTCCATCGTGAGGCTGTCATGTCAAAGCATACTACTACTCCCTGCAGGTTTTCAATAATCTATCTAATATATGAGAACGACGGTTTTTCCCAGCGTCCGTTTCAACGGTCCGATAGCACACAAAATCAATAGGTGACACATCTTGCGACTTGACTAATATAGCTTCGTATGGAATAACACAAATATCCATTTCAAATTTGATGTCATAAGCTTGTCGAAACGTTGTACATTTGTAATAAAGCTATCTCCAAACTTTATTGAATACCCGTTTCATTCTCCATCTGCTTGCGGTATGCGAAAGTTGAACGGATATATCTTGGAAGCAGCTTGTGATTTGTTTCCAGTCGGATATCTTTCATGGTTATGTTATGGGGCACATGGACGGCTTTTTCCTCTGATCTTTGTGTTCGTGGATTCTCACCAGTTACAAGACACCGCATTTAACCTACCACTGTTAACTGGGAAACTACTTGTCGCATAACTTCCTGGGTGGCCCTGTTGCCCCAAGTTGACACATATTATTTTTTTTTTCCAATGCAATTAAGTACAAGGTACGTGCTCATACGAATATTTTGTGTCGGAAAGGGCTGTTAAATACCCTTCTCATAAGCCACCAGTTTTCAGTGGCGTCACACTAGCTATAATATGCCATATAATGTCAACATGTAACTCTAATACATTCCGTTCCATCGTGACTTTACATTGGTAGTTGTCTCGTGACTTACTGATTTACATATTAAATTCGTTTTAACATAACGTACTCAACCATCTGAATATACTAAAAAACATATCAATGCATATCCTACATTGTAATGGATTGGGTGATGAACAAAAGGGGATTTATCAATACCATTTTTAATTACATGCTTAGAAAGACATCGTTTCAAACTGTGACGCGACAATTTTCCTAGATTATGCATTAACGGAAAGAGCGAAGTTTATGACATATTCAAGGTAATTATACAGGAATTGCATCACATATTTATAAAGTAAGAGTTATTGTTAGTTAGTTTGAAGTTAAGCACAAAGCTACACAATGGGCTATCTGTGCTGTGCCCACCATGGGTATCGAAACCCGATTTTGAGCGTTGTAAGTCCGCAGACATACCGCTATGCCACTGGGGGGCTAAAATGAGAGAAACGAAATCAATAATCAATTAATTACAATTTATAGGAAACATATTCTACTTCATAGATGTAAGATCATTAACCAAATAAAACCTTAAATAAATGAGAAATATTGGCATTGAAGCGAATAGAAAACAACCAAGGGATTGAAACTGATGAGCAAAAAAGCTTGACGTACTAAAATAAATATCATATTTCGTTTGATTATATTTAGTGATCAGGCATGGTCTGGTAGTTAGGACACTTGATTCATAGCCTGGAGGTCGCGGCGTTGAATCTTGTCACCGGCATGCTCTCACTTTCAGCCAGGGGCGTTATAATGGACAGTCAATCACACTCTTCGTTGATAAAGAGTAGCTAAAGACGTGGGAGTGGGTGATGTTAACTAGCTGTCTATCATTTTAAAATCAGGGACGACTAATGCAAATATCTCTCGTGTAGCTTTATAGAAAATTCAGGTAAAAAGGAAAATATTATCTTGGATATTTCTCATTTGTAGTTATTTTGAATACTGTTATTCAATTAGCTTTTTTTATTTATGGTCTAATCTTATTGTGATTATTTTACATTAACTGTTTTATCAAAAATATAGTTGTATTTTAGTAGAAAGTATTTCACAGTTAAATTTACATAATTTTCAAGTTCAGTAATAATATTTACATAAACCTTCATAAGTATGTTATCCGTCTATCTTTGTATTTTAACTTAGTTTCCTGTATATCTATCTTTGTTGCATCGAAAAAAAAACACAAAAAACAATCTTATCAGCTTTAGTTTCAATACAGCCCTCCAGTGGCACAGCGGTATGTCTGCGGACTTACAACACTAGAAACCGGGTTTCGATACTCGTGGTCGGCAAAGCACAGAGATCCCATTGTGTAGCTTTGTGCTTAACTACAAACAAAGAAACTTTCAAACAAAGTAAAATAGGTCAGTTCTCTTGTCTTGTTAGGATGTCTCAAGTTTGTATCGTTGTCATATAAGCATCATGTCTGTCTTCGTTTCGTGTATGAACAGTTGGTTTATGTTTTATTCCATTTGATTCTGAAGCGTCGGGAGACTTCAAATTTTCGCCAGGTTTATTTATAAGAACTTTCTGCAGAAGGAGAATTAACTGACGTTAATCAAAACACTGACTGACGTTAACCAAAACACTGACTGACGTTAACCAAAACACTAACTAACGTTAAGCAAAACATTGACTGACGTTAACCAAAACACTGACTGACGTTAACCAAAACACTGACTGACGTTAACCAAAACATTGATTGACGTTAACCAAAACACTGACTGACGTTAACCAAAACACTGAAATTTCAAGGATGATTTATATCGTTTTCGTCAATGGTTAGTAGAATAACATTAACGCAATAATCAGTTGATTGAGTTTAATATTATCAAATCTAAACCATCAACAAGAGTAATATGTTATCTGATAAAAACACTATGGATATATATATGTATATATGTACTGTGGATATAATGACATAAACATCTTTTATAATATCTAGTTGTTATTTATTCGTATCGGATATATATGTACTGTGGCTATAATGAAATAAACATCTTTTATAATATCCAGTTGTTATTTATTCCATATACCCGATACCACAAAGCTACACAAAAGCTACCTGCACCATCCGTATCTAATTTTGAGTTGATAAACTAAAAGGAAGGCAGCTGGTCTACAGCACTAATCGCCAACGCTTTGACCACTCTAATCGACTAGTGGGGTTTTACCTTCATTCATATAACGCAACAACGGCCCCAAATTGCGGAGCGCGATTTTGCGGTAGTGGGACGCAAACCATGCATATTTAGATTCGTAGTCCGGCACGCTAACCATTAAGTCCCGCTCGGCCCACTTATAATATGTTTTACTAAATACAGAACAAAAAAAATCCATTTATTTTTGTTACTATTGACTTTTATTTGCAAGTTTTAATTGACTGCGAAGAAACTTAAAATGACCGTGGTTACGTACCGATGACATTTAGCGTCACGAACATGCTCTTCTTTGGTACAGTACTGACTTGACACTCGTACTGACCAGCATCTTCTCTCTGGGGGTATTTCACCTGTAGCATCCAATCATCTCTGTCATCACGATGTATAACCTGAAATTTGTCGCTACTGGAGTATGTGTAGCGGCCAACAGTCAGAACATGGAGATCTTTTCTTCTAATCCACGAAACCTGAAAGTAAAGTTATCTTTTTATTTAGCAGGTATTCAAAAAATCCTATTGATCATGTAAATATAACTTACAATAGATTGCTATACCTTTGTAAAAAATAGATGTCATCGGTGGATAACCTGCTGAAAGTATTATATAACAGTATATACTACTATAAAATAGATGTCATCGGTGCATAACCTACTGAAAGTATTATATAACAGTATATACTACTATAAAATAGATGTCATCGGTGCATAACCTACTGAAAGTATTATATAACAGTATATACTACTATAAAATAGATGTCATTGGTGCATAACCTACTGAAAGTATTATATAACAGTATATACTACTATAAAATAGATGTCATCGGTGCATAACCTACTGAAAGTATTATATAACAGTATATACTACTATAAAATAGATGTTATTCAAAATAAAGTAAAACAAAGTATTTACTCTTTTACAGACAAACTTAAAAATAAGCTATTTTCATAATGCTAGGTTTATTTTTAAATATACAGTTAAGCACAAAATGACATCTGTGTGTTTTAATATGTCATTATACTTATCGTAAACTTGAAACTGGTAAACTTTACTAAGTTTGAAGGGGAGGTAATCTTTCTTCGTATTGGTGCAAAATTCTAAACTCACATTGCAATTCTTTAATCATTTGAATTTACTAATAAAATATATCAAAGTTACAACTGTCATTTGTGCTTTATCGTAAGAGCACGCTTAATGTTTGGTTTCAATATCTGTCATTTGAATATGTTAAAGACGTACATTTATGTTTAAAATTAAGCATTGGAAAAATAACCGGAATTTATTTTTCATAAAAGTTTACGTTTCAATTCTGTCACTTGAAAAGACACGTGAAGTTTATTATTTTCTGTGGAAATTAATTACGTACAATTAGATAATAATAATGCTTTCTGAAATTAATAGTAAAACTGGACAAAGGAAAGACCTCCACTGAGATATAAATTGGGCACTCATTCGCAACATCCATCACTGAAATACAGTCGTAGGTTGTAAACGAAGTAAATCTTTAAAACAGGCACTGTTGGAACGGAAAGTTCCTTAAGTCAGACAGTGATTATTATTTATTAATAACAGTATGTGGGGATAATGAAGTAGAATCAATAAAAGAGGTCGACCTTTGTAATTCGGTTAACTTAAGGAAATATGATAATTTGGGGAAATTTAGTATTACTTAATTTTAATTCTATAAAATCTAAGGAGACATGCATAAAATTTAATTCCCATCTGAAACCACTTTCGCTACAAGGTAAAATCCATCGAAACCTAGTCTTCTCATTTGTTTGCATCATATAAGTCAATCAATGGATACGGACGTAAAAGTCAACAGCAAGGCCTCTTTACTAATCCAGATGACATGACCGGTATTTTTATGCACTATTATTCGAGCAGAAATGTCATTAATTATACGAAAGCTAAAAAGAGGCATTATGTAGCTCTAATGATTTTATGCTTCAAGGTATTCAATTATCAGCTTTTGAAGAGTAAAAATATTTAGTAATTTAATTTCCAAAAGTCAATTAAAAGCGGAAGTAATAAGCGCTTTCATAATGCAGTTTAGCTGACGTGAAACTTCTTTTCTGGCGTTAATAGGAATTCCGTTGATTTTTAATCAAATTTACATAAAATATGGTGTTTAATAAAAAATGAAACATGATGCTTTACAAAAATAAGTTACGAGAAGCAGGTCCGGAAGACAGAAGAAAACTTTGTACACAATCCTCGTTTGATACGCGTGTGCTATTTATAAAGTTTATGTATTACATAAGAATGGGGATTTATCGATTTTCGCAAAAAACTTTGAGAGACATTTTCACATAATGATGAAGTGAAATACATAAAAAACATGACTATATCTACTGTGTAACATAACAAACGTCAAGTAATGTCTGTCAGGTCTCTTCAATTCCTCATCCTATACAGCTACTAGATTAGAGAAAGTAAATAAGAGTATGGGACAAGTACAACGACGTTCGTCTTTTTGTTTCTGATAGAGTTTTGCAGAAATGTATTTTCACATATCATTTTCAGTGAAGGGAATAAAAAAAGAAATGTATTCTTCTTTATTGACTTTAAGTTATTGCTTGACGTTCAAATTATGACTAAGTTGTATGTTTTCTATTTGAGCCAAAGTTAATGTTCCTTCTCCTTAAGTATATTTCATTTCTTTCAGTCTGTAACGTGCCACAATATTAGTTTTCGCTTATCACTCAAAGATGACAAATAACTTAAATGTAACTCATTATTTTCAGTGACAAATCATTTTAAAGATTAGGCAAACAAAAAAAAAACATCAACATGAGAGCAAATGGTTAAAGTTGATAGACTCATCATAATTTATAAATTTGTATTTCTTTATATGCTAATGCACTCGGAACTAGTAAAACGTGTATATCTATACACAGTATTCCTTTTTATTTTTTATACTTCTGGTTAGCTTAATTACGTAGATTTCAAAGAAGATTCTTTGTTTAAACAGTTTGTTACCAACACATATTGTTTCATTGTTTTTGTTTTGAATTTGTAGAAAAACGGGTTTACAATATTATGGTTTGTGTCTATGTATATATATATATACAAGTAAAGTAAAAAGTTTTCAGAAAAGGGAATATATGTAGGGATGGCTAATATCAATCCTTCAAAAACAATGCAAACAAGTTAGTAAGGATGGCATTTGCATCATCTTAACATAATAGCCCAAGCACACAGTGTAGTAGAATGTTAACAGACAAAAAGAAGGTAAATTAAGCTGTGATTGAATAGTTATCTATATTGCTATATGTTAATTCTTGCCTGTGCTGTTATGTAGGGATGATGCAAATGTCATCCCTACTATCTTGTTTCATTGGTTTTGAAGGATTGATATAAGCCATCTCTACATTTACTTCCTTTTTTTAAACATACGAAGGTTGTATTTATAATCAAGTTATAAATATAATAAGGTTGCAACTGTGATATCTATTGTTTATCTATTATTCGCTGGTAATTCCTGTTTCGCTCTGTACTTAAGCTTTTAAAAGAAACACCAAATCTCTGTACAAAAGCTAACTTCAAGGGGTAATGATGACATCATTACACTAGAATTTATTAAATTACTGCTAGTTATTAATAAAACTTATAAACGTGGATACTCCGTTTGAAACTATGTCACCTCAGTGAATTTGGTTGACACCATTGTTTTGGTTTATGAATTATCATGTAATAAAGAAGAAGAAGAAAGAAGAACAAGAAATTCTAATTTTTTGCTATGATGTTTGCAGTTATTCTCAGAACTTGTGACTCTATCATTACATAAAATATTGTAATAAAAGGAAACACTATATAGTATTGTAAAGTTCTGATGGCCTATTGAGGAGGTATTTGAAATACCATTTCGATGAACAATCTCAGCCAACCTTACATAGACAGTGCTACCGCCTGCCTGATATACATATTAAATCTTGAAATCTATTCTAAATACGCGCAAAGACAAAATACACAGAAATAGAACATAAATGTAAAAAAAAAAACAACTATAAAGGCTTAAGTGGTATGTAACTGTGTATTAGCATTAAAACAGTGTTGAAGATAGTCTGTATCTTCAGTTATACACTAACATAGTCTATATCTTCAGTTATACACTAACATAGTCTGTATCTTCAGTTATACACCAACATAGTCTGTGTCTTCAGTTATACACCATCATAGTCTATATCTTCAGTTATACACTAACATAGTCTGTATCTTCGGTTATACACCAACATAGTCTGTGTCTTCAGTTATACACCAACATAGTCTGTGTCTTCAGTTATACACCAACGCCGGTAAGAATATTCTGTACAATAGCAGACGAACAAAAATAAAATTCTTAGAGAGTCAGATTAAATTGCTTAAATTCCTGATATCCTAATCCTAAGTACACATTCACTCTCTGCAGCCAAGTATGAGAAGGTTGATTCACCGTAACTAAATCAAATAACACAAAAATAAACCCAAATATTTCAGAATAAAACTGAAAATAGCAAAGATATATTCTTCAATAAACAAAAAAGGAAATAAGAAAGATTATGAAATAAAAAGGATTATGGTCCCCAAACATACATAATCAAAAGCATCCCAACCTGTTCCCCTGAATACAAATAGTAAATCAGATTAAAATAATGGCGCCATGTAACTAATCATTGTCAAAAATATATTAATTAAAACGCTATAAATTTTAAAAGTGCAATTGCAAGTATTGACAGTGACGTCGATTTTGGTCTTTGCTGTTCCATTTCACACGCAAAAGATAGTAAAAGAAATAAATCTACTTATAAAAGAGATAGCAAGGGTCTATCATCATACCTGTTATTAAGATTACGAAACCGAAAACTAATGCTAAACTGAGGAATAAAGTCACGTGATAACATGTCCAAATCGTCTGTATTCGTGACCAATGCAAGTTAATATGACAGAAGATCAGCACATTAAATAACAGAAAAACTACCTTTGCAGATGAAAATCACATCATTCAGAAGAAAATAAAGAACATTTTCATTTAGTGTAATATTATATTTATTGAAAAATAAGCTGCAGGTTTGATTGTAGTGGAAAAGCTATAGCCGTTAAAGTTGTTTTTCGGTTAATAATTTAACATACAGACTAACATAACTTAAAGGATTGCACATGGAATTTGAAGTTGTTTCTCTTGTCACAAATGTTTAAGTTCAACTTTCCACTAGTAAATTAACTACATGGGTTAAAAACTGACAGGAAGTTGACTTTTCAGTTCCACAGGGTAAATGGAAGAGACCGTTAGTTCAAAGCCTGGATTATTGAAATAAGTTAAACCGTCTACGTAACGAAAGGTAAAACAATACTGATCCAAATTTGATGATTGTGAGATGAATAAATGCTTACAATAAAGAACGATACATATTTGCCGCATTTGATGAGTAGTTAGAACCCATTCGAATTCTTTCATAAATATTATGGTCATATTAGGTGTAAATATATAA